AAGATCTTGGTTCTGCTGAACAAGGAGGGAAGAAATTGACCAAGACATTAATGTATTTTGAGGGCTGCCCAAAGCCTTTGGGTTGCACGGTAATTTATCGAAAACTAACCAAAAACAATAGTAAGTAGAATATAGGAGTAGATGAAACTAAAATTTACACTGAACTTTTTTGGTGATATATTTCTTTTCTCAACAGTGTTGATCTATATGAAATTTGTAGTAATGGATCATTGAATTAGTCTACACTGTGTGCTTGCATGTATATGTTTGCTTCAGATATTACTTAGGGGGGGCAAATGGAGATGAATTGAAGAAAGTCAAGCATGTGGTCCAATATGGAATTTTTGCAGCTTATCACTTGGCTCTGGAGACATCGTTTCTTGCTGATGAAGGAGCATCTCTGCCAGGATTGCCTTTGGACAATCCGAATTCTGCGGCACTTATGGATAAACCATCGAGCATTGCAAGGTCCATATCAAACTTTCCTGGTTTTACCATTCCTGCCAATAAAATGTCCCAGGACCACCAAAGAGCTAACGATGTTCACACTTTACCTAATGATACAAGCTTATTGTCTTCAAGTCCACCCCCTTTAGAATTAAATGCCCTTTCATCGTCTCCTTCTGAAAAAGTTATTTCAGATGCCTTTTCCGAGAAAAATTATATGGATTCCAATGTATCTTCAATGATAGAAGCTTTTGCTGAGGAAAGGGAGTCAGCTTTCTTGAATAATGATCTCAATTTTAGTAGTCCTGCACGATTATATTCTTTGGAACAATTTTCAAGGATCATCTGAAATTCAGCCAGGTGGTTCAGAGTTATCTTCCGAGCAACAAGATAATAATAACCTGAATAACCGTTCCAAGGAGTCAAAACCATTGAAAGAAGAATTTCCTCCATCACCCAAAGACAACCAGAGCATTTGGGTTTCTTTATCATCTCGATGCGTGTGGAAAGGGAGTGTCCGCGAAAAATCTCATCTCTTTCGAATCAAGTATTATGGCAGCTTTGATAAACCCTTGGGCCGGTATTTACGGGATGATATATTGGATCAGGTAAATATTTTTTCCCTTGCATTTATTTATTTCATTGTACAAACCCCAAATGTTCTTTTGAAACTATGGAGATCATTAATTTTTTAGAGTTACCGATGCCATTCATGTGATTTACCTTCGGAAGCACACATTCACTGTTATAGTCATCAGCAAGGAATCCTCACCATATCTGTTAAGAAACTCTCTGAAAATTTCTTATCTGGTGAAAGACTGGGAAAAATCTGGATGCGGCGCAGATGTATGAGATGTACCAGGGCCAATGGCTTACCTCTGACCACACGGAGAATAGTGATGTCTGATGCTGATTGGGGTTTATCTTTTGGGAAGTTTTTGGAGCTTAGTTTTTCAAACCATGCAGCTGCAAGCCGGGTTGCTAGCTGTGGTCATTCTTTACATAGAGATTGTCTTCGTTTCTACGGGTCTGTTTCCTATAATCTTCATGTATATTTACCAGATATCATATATGTACAAATAGTTGCCTCATTCAAAATATGCTAAAAGACATCTTTGTATCTTTGTGCAGGCTCTTGACCTATAATTATAATTCACTACATTGTGTCATTAATCATTGCTACGTACTTTTTTTTTGACGACTCATTGCTACGTACTTGTTTGATTTAAAATCGGCCTTTTTGTCCATACAAGCTCCTCAGTCAATGACATCAATCTTAGAATATCTATGAGTGCACCAATAGACTTTGTGAATATTCAAATGAACTGACTATTCATTGTTTAAATATCTGTAGATTGGGGAGAATGGTTGCTTGCTTTCGGTATGCTACAATTGACGTCCATTCTGTCTACCTTCCACCCTCAAAAGTTAGTTTTGACTTCGAGAATCAGGAATGGATACAGAGACAGATAAGGTGTGCAGATAATGGTTTTGGTTTTTTAAGCAGCCGATATTGGTCTCTCTGCAGTGTTATAATATATTTTATCTTGTAATTGAAAACAGGTGGCCGACCGGGCAGAGCATATGTTTTCTGAAGTACACAATTCTCTAAGTAAAATTACAGATAAATTCATTGCAGCTGGGGCACCTCATAGCATCACGAAAACACCTGAATTGAGACATCAAATTGCTGAGCTTGAAGGAATGTTACAAAAGGAGAAAATGGAGTTTCAGGTGAGACTGAGAAATTATATAAGAAAATGTTTTTGAAAAGTTCGAATTTGTGGTGTTCCATTGTGATTACCCTTTGCATGTATCAATAAAATTCTGTTAAAGAATAGAACTTTGGCAAATGTCAAATATGTTCATTGCTGTTTTTAGTGTCTGGTTTCTTATTGTTCTTGGATTTGATTCAGGAATCATTGCAAAAGGCTTTGAAAAGGGAAGTGAAAAAAGGGGAACTTGCTATTGACATTCTTGAAATTAACCGGTTGCGGCGGCAATTACTTTTCCAATCTTATATGTGGGACCATCGCCTAGTTTTTGCAACCAATTTAGAAAATTATAACCTCCAGGACATCAATATGCTGGAACTTGGAAAAGGCAGTGAATGCTGTGACTTTGCTTTTGCGGATGCGAAGCTTGATAGGGGCTCTGACCAAGGAGAATTAAATGGCAACACTAATCACTCAGATTTGATACATCAAGAACTAGATACGAGTGCAACTTCAAATGCGGTATCTGAAGACAATGGTATTCTTTCTGATACCCAGAGCATGTATGAGCAACTCGAATGTGAGAAACCTATGGCAAATGCTCGCCATGCCTTGTCTGAAGGCCAGTTTCCTGTCATAGAAAATTTGTCAGATACCCTCGATGCTGCTTGGACCGGCGAAATTCAGCAAGCAGCTGTAGTACCAAACAATATCTCGTGTTCTCTTTCTGATTCTGCTGCTTTTGAGATTGCTGTTGCGAATGCAGTAACAAAGTGTTTAGATTTGGAAGCTCACTCTGAAGAAAAGATTGAGCCGAAGGTTTTTCATCCTCTTTCTCCGGTATGGTCCTCTAAAAGCTCTGAAAATACAGAAGACGCTGTAAGCTGGTTAAAAATGCCTTTCTTAAGCTTCTACCGCTCCTTGAACAAAAACATTTTAAGCAATGCTTCAAAGCTTGATACATTTACTGAATATGATCCAATCTATGTTTCATCATATACAGAGTTGGAAGTGCAAGACGGGGATAGACTGCTTTTGCCGGTCGGCTTTAATGACACGGTTATTCCAGTTTATGATGATGAACCCACAAGTATGATATCATATGCTCTATCTTCACCCGAATATCATTTCCAGGTAAGCGATGATGGTGATAGGCCTAAAGAAAGTGGGGATTTAACAGCATCAGTATCGTTCCTTGAATCACTGATTCAATCGTCATATTCTTTTAACGAGATGACCTTTGATTGTCATAGAAGTTTTGGTCCAACCGATGACATAACTGGATCTCGCAGCTCAAATATGGATCCACTCTTCCCCACAAAGTCTTTGCATGTAAAGGTGTCTTTTGGAGATGATGGATCGTCTGATAAAGTGAAATTTACTGTTACATGCTATTATGCAAAGAGATTCGAAGCATTAAGGAGAATGTGTTGCCCATCAGAGCTTGATTATATAAGGTCTTTGACTCGTTGCAGGAAGTGGAAGGGTGGCAAGAGCAACGTTTTCTTTGCGAAAACCTCAGATGATCGGTTTATTGTTAAACAAGTCACAAAGACAGAGTTGGAATCATTTATAAAAATGGCACCTGGATATTTCAAGTACATGTCTGAATCAATTAGTTCTCGAAGTCCGACGTGCCTGGCAAAGATTCTTGGTATCTATCAGGTGCTTGTTCCTATGGCTTCAGATGCTCTAATGCTACATACGATAACCATTAATCTAATTTTGGTCAACTAGTTGGAATAACCCTGACATTATCCATCTTTCAAGTTTAAAATTATCTCGGTTGTATGATGATAATTGTGGATTCTGTGATCATTTTTTCTTTCTGTTGAAAGGTTTCAGTAAAGTCTCTTAAAGGTGGGAAAGAGGCAAAGATGGATGTTCTGGTTATGGAGAATGTACTGTTTGGATGAACTGTCTCGCGGCAATATGATCTCAAAGGATCTAGATCTCGTTATGTTTCCCAATCTAGTGGAAGCACCAAGGTTCTGCTAGATCAGAACTTGATTGAATCAATGCGGACTTCCCCAATTTTCGTGAGTAATAAAGCAAAGCGGCTGTTGGAAAGAGCAATCTGGAATGACACTGCTTTTCTTGCGGTAAGTTTTTGGGCCTGGAGATCAATCTGCATTCCTGAATTTCTAGTTTAGATGATGAAGACATCCCGTTTTCTTATTTCTTTTATCTTTTCAGCATTGCAGGCAAGCGACGTGATGGATTACTCGTTACTAGTTGGAGTGGATGAAGAAAAGCACGAGCTAGTTGTCGGAATCATCGATTACATGAGGCAGTATACCTGGGACAAGCATCTTGAAACTTGGGTGAAGGCTTCCGGCATCCTCGGTGGACCGAAGAACGCATCACCAACAGTAATATCACCAATGCAATACAAGAAAAGGTTCCGGAAAGCAGTGGCAACGTATTTTCTAATGATCCCAGATAAGTGGTCCTCTCCTGCCACATCAGGCAAATCTCAGTCGGATACAGGCGAAGAGAATGGACAACACGGGACCTCCTTCAAGTGATTTTATGATCGAAATCTCAGAGTTCGTCTCTCCCATTCTGTTTTCCTTTGTTCATAAGATTGATTTTCATTTACACAACAAAAGAGAAGAAAATTCATATTTTTTTGCTCAGGCCATGGGAATTACTGTCAGAGGTCAAATATTTAGTGACCCTTGCCTGAAATTTTGTACAAACTAACACATATATATATATTCCATCATACTGTAAAAACAAAGTGATTGATTACAATAGAAAGAGATTTTTGTTTTTGTAATATTCGATCTCGAGATTTATATCGACTGAAGATTTAACACAGAATTGCATCAGTGGAACTTGTTAAAAATCATTGACACCATTAACAATTTGAAGCCATCTATCTTGAAGAAGATCAAGGATCTCAGCATCTCTGGATTCAGTTCAACAATGACAAAAACACAGTCAGTAATTCGAGTATTCGATTTCGTGATTGATGTCGACGTTCTTACCTAAGATGATAAAATGTTCGTTGACGAAATCGAGGCCCTTCATCGTATCCTTCACAAACCATTTCTCCATTTTCATCTCTATAGCAGATTACACCTTCAGACTGATCCTCAAAAACCTGCAAACAAGACATTCAAGCATTCATGTTGCAGATAAATGCAAACATGGGACACAAGGTTTGCCAGTTATGTCCTGAAAAAACGCACTAAACAAGCATCGTTGACCTTGTTCTTGGAGAAGGATTTGATCTGAATAATGGGTGTTTTCTTGTTTGGAACCTGTTTTTTTCTAAGCATCACGATCTTGTTGCCATGGTTTGCTGGTGAACCCGAAGCTGTAACTGGAACATGAAGAGGAAAGGAGGTTGCTAAAGACATTAACAAAAGTTGGAGATTGAAGTGGTGCTTTTGCATAGTTTAAATAAGCTATTGATAAATGATAATGGTGACAACATGGGATCTTGGAGCTATGTATTAAAATCAACGATGAGATTTACATCTCCGTTTCAGTCATCTCTATGGATTTGCTTGCTGGTTTTGCAGGTGACACGTTAAGGCAAATGATGGAGTGTTTATTGGGATTACTCTCTCCATTATTTGCTTCTCCATCCAATCACATCTTTGGGGGCTTTATTGGGCTATTTTAGGTATGAATTTAAAGCAAAATATCAACCCATTTTATGTGATCGAAAGTAGGGATGGCAACTCAACCAGAACTCGATCTGACCCGATCGGGTAGAATTTTTTTTTAAAAAAAATTAGGTTTGGGTCGGGTTTAGGATAGAAAAAATCCGACCCGACCCGAAAAATATATATTTTACTCTATATATTTAGGGATAATTACAATAATACCTATATATATATATATATATATATATATATATATTTAATTAAGTCATTATTTTTATTGAATAAAATATATGTTTTATTGAATAATTTTTTTTTATTTCGGGTCAGGTCGGGTCGGGTCGGGTTTATAAGTCATATATTCGGGTCGGGTCGGGTGAAACCTTAATTTCGTCGGGTTGGGTCACGGGTGGAGGACATTTTCTTCTCAGGTCGGGTCGGGTGGCCCAAAAACCCGACCCATTGCCATCCCTAATCGAAAGCTCTTTTGTTTCTTTTTTGGTAAACCACACTTGTATATAGATCGATTAATTCAGATCAAATATTATAGAGTACTATTATTCTCTCAACACAATTAACTTAAATTACAACATCAAGATTCGAACTCCTGATCTTACTTAATAGATTTAAAATATATTTTTATTTCTTTTGCAATAGGAGAGGATAATTAGGATGAATATATTAAAAAATAATAAAAAAAAATACCAGAGGGAAATTTTCATTAAAGTAAAAGACCATTTTAAATAATAACCTTTCAAAATTAGGCACAGATGCTATACATAAATGATTGTAGCATTCAATACAATTCAATCATTCATATTATATCAGGCCAAAACACACATCTATAGGTGTAGATTGACCGCTTTTAGGAACCCATAGTTGAGGCTATAAGCTAAACCTGGGCCTATACCTTGTTAGCTCCTGGACCACATTGCACCCTGTGTAACTATCCTTCTTTCTTTTAAGAGTAATTACAAGTCCTCAAAGTATGAATCTTATTTTAAATTAGTCCCTAAACTTTTCAAACATTCTAATTTCATCCCATATTATACATATATACTAATCACACCCCTTGTTAATAGAACCGTTAGCCCAAGTTATATTATTATGTGTTTAAAAAAAAACTAGGTTAAACAATGGTTAAAACTAATTACATATTTAGGGATAAAATTGGAATATTCAAAAATTTGGGGACCAATTTAGAAATATGGTCACAGTTAGTGATGAAATTATAATATTCAAAACTTTAAGGATTAATTCAAAATAAGAGTTATAGTTTGAGGATGAAATTAAAATATTCAAGATGTAAAGACCAATTTAAATTAGGGTTATAGCTTATGATGAAATTGTTTTTATATCATCTCACATCATCATTTTCATTAAGTCAATGCTAAATCTAACATCGGGTGATCAAAATATAAACAAAATATATCATTAGATATGATTTGAAAAAAGAAATAGTCAGATTACCAAAACAAAAAATTTAGAACAAGTGAGTGATCAAATAGGTAGTTTATCCATTCTTTTCATCCTAAACCTCAAATCCCAGGAAATTCGTTTCTACACCTTTCTATTTCAAATAAATCAACTTTTAATCTTTGAACTTATCAATTTTCCCAACTTGATCCCTATATCTTTTTGGTCCACATTAGTCACTCAATTTGGATTTATTTATCATTTTTAGTCTTTTACCAAATTCGAAGGCTAATATAGACAACAAGAAAAAATAAGGTAAAACACATAAATGGTCCTCCAACTTTAGAGAGTTGCTTTATTAAATCCCTCAGTTATTAAAAGTTACAAAATCATCCTTTGAATATAGGGAATTATTTTTGTTGAGTCCCCCGGCTATTATAAGTTATAAAATAGTCATTCGACTATTCATATGTTCAAAATTTATCTTTTTTGTTAAAAATTGATGACCGTCTAAGCTGGACGTTAACCTGTTGATTGAGCTATGATAAAATCACATTTCAATGATCTTTATTGGCACAACCTTTGCTTTCAAGCACTGACTCGAAGACATTGACTCGACGACATAACATAAATTGAGAGTCTATCCACAAAATACAACTCAAATGGTTACGGGGTTAGATTAGGAATGGCAAACGGGTACAATTTCGTGGATTTCGCACCGCACCCGCTCCAATTGGGGCGGGGATGGGTATAATTTTAGTGGGTAGTGGACGGGTGTAGATTTAGAAAGTGGTACTCGTCGCGGGTAGTGGGCGGGTAATGGGTTTGACACCTTACCCGCCCCACATCCGCCCTCCCAGCTAAATATCCATTACATTTTGGACATTATGAATTTAGGTGTAATTTTAGAGACTAATTTATAAATCCTAATATTGTATAAGATATAACTTGTTATTTAACCAAATATTAGGGATAAGTTAAGTTTATGCATATTTTTTTTTCCTTTCAAACCTCTCATTTTCATTACTGCACCGATCTTCAAAGGCAGTCTGGGTTCTACGTATTTCTCAATTTCATATGTTACTATCAAGTTTCTGCCGATCTTCAAATGATGGATTTTGTGGTGTTTTGGTATAAAGGATTCATTGTCTTAGGATATTGGAAGGGATTGCATAATAAAATACTCATTTTTTTAGTTAAAATGGCGAAATCTTATATCAATCTGCATGCATTGATATTGGAACAGTTCAAAACTTATCGAAATTGTCGAAACGTACTGAAATTCGGATTGGAATAGAGCTTAGACTACTTGATATCAGTTTAGGGCAAAATGAGTAAGTACTAGTTTTATTTATGTGTTTGTTGCTTATGCATAACTTAAGTTTGCTATCAAGCGGGTCTAGCCGGGTACATCTCTAGTTGGATAGTGGGTGTGGGGATGGATTTGAGAATGTACCCGTGTGGGGGGTGGATTTAAAAATTTTACCCATCATGGGTGGTGGGCGGGTGGTGAATTGAAAAATATTATACGGGTATGGGGATGGGAGAGGGGGTATCCGCACCCGACCCGCCTATTTGCCATCCCTAGGTTAGATTCTATCATATTTCAGTCAACTAGTTAACGTCCAGCTTAGGTGGTCGCCAATTTTTTAATGAAAAAGGACGGGTTTGAAACATATGAACAATCATGTGATCATTTTGTAACTTTTAATAGTTGGAAGACTTAACAAAATCGTACCCTATGATCGAAGAACTATTTTGTAACTTCTAATAGTCGAAGGAATCAACAAAGTAACACCTTATAGTCGAGAGACCATTTATGTACTTTACCGATAAATTTAAGAATACACTAAAAAAAAGTTGTCAAGTTCGTGTACTAAAAGTTACTTTAACCCTCCTGTTTTTAATGTTATAACTTAACGTAAGATCTCAACCAAAATAAAGAGAATTAAAGGACACCATATGCAAGCTGCATGAACCACCAATTTGCTTCTATTTGATTGATTGCTAGGCCATTAGCAACCTATATCTCTTTGAATTTCATTGTCTTGTTAACCATCAACCATTAACAGCCTTTTAAATCTCAACAATTTCGGTGCTTAAATGTCTAACATGATTGTATACAGACACACGTATTAATGAACAAAAGTACTAAACACTGTAACACTTATTGTACTGTATTAAGCTACACACTGCATTTGTCAAACTGACAAGTTTCATAATGCGGGCTTTGAACTTTTGAAAGAGATGCCTCATTATGGAAGAGTCATATTTTCGTATTCGTGTTCGTGTTCTTAATTAGCCACGATGTTTTGCGAAGAAAAAGTTTCTAAGTTTTTAACTAGTGCTTACCTGCAATTCAACAGCTTATGAGCCTATGGGTTGTGAAATGCACACACTCAACTGGAGATGAAATCCAATTAAGAAGCTTCTCAAAAAGATTACAAAAGAAGCATGTAGACAAACCAATAAAAAAAATTGTTTCATCTTGTCCATTCCTTTCCTTTTTAGCTCAATAGTCAAGGATTAAAGCGATAAAACACTTTTAGACCCTGAACTTGCAACTTTTCTTAACCTAGTCCTTCTGACACTCTGATATTATGCCACGAAAGGCAAGTTCAGGGACTAAGTTGCAATAAATTGTTAAACTCAAGGAGTAAAAGCTTGGTTTATCCCTTCTTATATAATTTTTCTGTGCATTCTTTTGTGGTATTAAATTATGTTCAGCTCCCAAAGTTCCTCTCCTTTTGATGAAGTAACGTTTCGTCTCCTAGCTTGTTTTATGTAAATTTGTGAGATTAGGACAATGTGTCGATGTTGTTTCATTTTGAAATAGTAATATTATATATATATATATATACATATATATTCATGTGGGGCTTATGAAAGAGTAGTTCATTGGTTCATAGGTCTCTACTGGTCTAAGCTTTTTGCCTTGTTTAGCCAACTCCATTGTCTCTTCAAACTTCAAACCGCAATAGTTTTCACATGCCACAGTTTAGTACTTTATATTGACTTGTTGGTATTTTCAAAAATAAAAAAAATCACTTGACCAAGAAAAAGCAGTTCATCTTCAACAAAAAGCATGGATCTTGCTAGCTCCAATTTTGTTCTCTAATGGGGTATTTTAAGCTTAAAGATCCCACATTTGTTGCATTCTGTTTGTGTTTGTTGATTTTTCTGCAGTTAATGCATTTGTGTTTCATGTGATTCAGGAACCGGCTATGGAGAGTAATGATAACCCATTTTCAGACACGTTTTCAGACCCACTTTGCAAGCTTAATCTCAAGGAGACATCCGAGTTTGTCAAGTCTTTTCCAATGTCGGGTTTGGATGTTTCAACGCAGAGGAGGCGAGTTGGGGTGAACTCAGTGACAACAAAAAGTGGAGTTTTTGAAGCTCCTTCTACACCAGGTAGGCCTGTTTTCAGCTTCAGTGGCGGCGGCGGCGGTGGTAGAAAAGGCTTTCCTTCAAAGTGGGATGATGCAGAGAAATGGCTAATCAGCAGCTCTTGCCATGACTCTCCTGCTCACACCATTAGGCCGCCACCGGCACAGTCGTCTAAGGTGGCTAAACAAAGTGATAACTTTAAGCAACAAGGTGAAGTATTTTCTGATAAATCAAGGGTAACTGAGGAGAAAGTTACCTTTAAAGGGTCAGTTTCATTGGGACACCATAATACAACCAGAGGCTTTAATGGAATCCCTGCCTCCATTGATGTCTTTCTAAAAGGTACAATCTAAATACATTTAATGGAACTTGTGGTTTGCAGTTTTGCTTGTGAGCTGATGAATACAATTAGGCTTTATAATCATATCTGTTTTGATGCATAATTATGTAGATAAGTTCACAGATGAAATAGAACCGATTTTGCCGGATTTCAGATGTTCAGAGCCCTCAAGAGAAGGGTTTCTTTTCCAAAACTCAGCCACTGAAACCATGAAAGATGCAGGCACCGAAGTGTTCCATGAAGTTAAACATAAGGACGCCGGGACCGAGATGACTCCGCTCGGAAGTTCGATGACTTCTAGATGCCACACGCCGTGCAAGAGCTCGTCGCCCGTGCGGCATAACACGCCGGCTAATCGGTCAGGTCCGTTGAATTCCGCCGATTCGAGTAGTTCTAATAGCACAATTGGCATTTCACAGCTGCAAGAATGTCATCTAGCTAAGTTACAACTTGGGTCTCAATATGATTCCATCACATCGAATTGGAGCTCGAGGGAAGAGGAGGAGGAAGAAGTGTCAAAGAGCCTTAGACATTACGAGACCGGCAGTGGGTGCCGGAGAAGTGTTTTGGATTCGAGAACTCCTACATGGGAAGAAGAGGAAAGGACTAAATGTTGCCTGAGGTAAAGAGGTAAAATACATTTTATCATTGTTTTAGTTATGTAGCATATCAGCAATGACTGTCATTCGGGTCACAGGTACCAGAGAGAGGAAGCAAAAATCCAAGCTTGGGTGAACCTTCAAAGTGCAAAAGCAGAAGCTCAATCAAGAAAGCTCGAGGTACTTATTCGATCTTTCCGGGCATTACCACCGGTTCCTATTGCCGTGCACCATATCGGAACCTTTGAAGCTATTCATCAACTGAATGTGCTAATTGGACTATACTTCAAAGCTCAATCCGACCTTATTAGATTGATTTTTTTCTTCCACGTGCCACCCGAAACTCGGAGATACCTTCTCATCTCTTGCATTTTCATCTCCATGTGAAGTTCCATTTAGTTGATTAATATTAACTTCTCGTTTTGTAGATGAAAATCCAAAAGATGAGATCTAAACTAGAGGAGAAATTAATGAAAAGAATGGCGACGGTTCATCGAAAAGCCGAGGAATGGAGAGCTTCGGCGCAACAGCAACACGCAGAGCAAATGCAAAAGCCGAACAATGCACGGATGATTAACCGAAGTAACTTGAACTTTTCCGGAAACATCTCATGTGGTTGTTTACCTTGCAATAACAGATACTGAAAAGATAGATCATTTCCACCCCTGCCATTCTTGCAAAGCTTTTATGTAGAGAAATCACATCAGTAACTTGAACTTTTCCGGAAACATCTCATGTGGTCGTGCCGCACTCGTTTGCCTTTTATCTTCATATTATTTTGTTTGTGACCCTCACAAGGATTAAGGATTTTGTCCTTTTTATGTTTCATTCTGTTCGAGTAGAACAAGGAACTTGTCTGGTGATGATAGTGAACCAATTCTTCCACTAACATAGAAGCCATCGTCACTTACTGATAATTGAATATATATATACACACACACATGTAGGGTAAAAAGATTTCAATCCAAAAAATAATGGAGAATGAGTGTGAAGTGAGAAAGCTTTTGATAAAAGTTTTGCAGTAGCAGTAGCTTTTGTCTTGTCGATTTCTGATTCATCAGCCTTTGTATTCACTCGCTATGGCCATAGTTGCAGCTAAATTACAGAAAGCCTTTTACTCTGCTTCACCCCCATAGATCCACTGCCAGTCACAGTATCTTAGGAGAAAGATACAGTGAAGAAGAAGGGCAAAGACAAGAAGACCAAAACAACCAGAAAAAACCACACGCATAAAACCAAAGACAAAAGACAATAGCAGTAGTTGCAGTTGCAGAAGAAACACAAAACATAACATAGCATGTCTGACAATGCGTAGGCTAGCATCATCTACATGTCCTTGCTTTGTTACTCCTTAACTGTCCCCAGGTGTGGGGCTAAGCAAGTTTTTGCTTCCAATCAGGGCGATTTTTCTTAGGGTCGGAATGGAAATTATAGGTTTTTGGAGGGGTTCAAAGTATAATTTTACCATTCGACTAGTCTATCATTCAACAACTGGTTAAAATACAATGCATATTACTCTTATGCCATTTGAAATTTAGTCCTTCTTTTCAGAAAATTAATCTTTTTACTTTAAATGTGGGATTCGAGATTTAAATAGGTTTTATTGTACCAAAGACCACTAATTTATTATCTAACTTTTAAATTAATCTTTAAATTTTAAAATATTTTAACCGAGTCTTCTAGATATTATATCAGCTAGATCTTTCCATCAGTTTAGCTGAAAGGTTGAAGCCTTCCCAATAAATCGTCGATATACAAGACCTAAAACGCAGTCGTTTTCTGTGCTGACTTGTTTTGCAAGAAGACCAGGAGACTTTAAGAAAAGCGGCAGCTTTCTCTTCCCTTTCGCTTGGTTGCGCTCATCGATACACTCTTTCGCAGGTAAATCATCCCTCTCATTTTAATTTTCTTCCCAGAAATAAGCTAAAAATTTATGGGTTTTCTTTGTTTCTTTAGGTTTTGTTAGATCTAACAGTCAATCGATCCAAGATGTTTCTCACCAGGTACCAAATCAAAGCATATTTGTTCCTGATAAAGTTTAATTCCTCCCCCCTCCCCCTTTTAATGTTTGGCGATTGGTCTGTGAAGGACTGAGTATGATCGTGGGGTGAACACATTTTCGCCGGAGGGAAGATTGTTTCAGGTGGAATATGCTATTGAGGCCATCAAGGTAAAAAACTTTTTCTGTTTTTTTCCTTAGAAAATCACCAAACTCCTTACACTATTAAGCAAATTTTCTATTGGGTCTTTTTTGTTTTTAATATTTTTGGGTTTTTATTAATTGCACTGCAGCTGGGCTCGACTGCAATTGGGATAAAGACGAAAGACGGCGTTGTGCTGGCTGTCGAGAAGCGTATTACTTCGCCATTGTTGGTCTGGAATCTTACTTGATTTAATGTGATTGTAGTTGCAAATTATTTCTGCTATGATTTACTTGTACACTTAGCCCTTGTTTGTAATAGAAGAAAAATAGTTCTATATTTGTTACTTTTCTTTCGATTTGCTTTGCTAAAATGCATTTTAGAAGATGTTTATTAGATGTGGAGTTCCATGGAGAATGAAATAATGTTTAGCTTTTATGGTCATTAGGAGTCTCTTTAGACCTATGACCTACTCTGCAGTGGCAAACATGTCAATATTGATTATTAATCAAGACCCAAGAATTGAAAATCTGGGTCCAAGCAATGGAGTTTGCAATTACTGATTCTGATCTTATTGTCAACTCACAAAATGTTCTGGGCGGTATGTCAGTTCCTTTTGATGTACTGAAATTTGTAAGACATGTCAAGTAGTTGATTCAGCTTGCTATCGCTGTCTCTGCTCTCTGTATGCTGCTCTATACTCCCTAAGATTCCGTTACCTGTCACTTCTTTGCATTGTCTTCCAGTCGAAGCCACACTTTTTCTTAACATGATGCTTGAAATCCAGCATGTAGCAATGCCGCATATAGTAGGTTTTGTGGAATGTAGATTATTGTAACTTTTTCCGGGCCTCATTAGTGGACGCCCTTTCAGGAACCCAGCAGTGTTGAGAAGATTATGGAAATTGATGACCATATAGGATGTGCTATGAGTGGGTTGATTGCTGATGCACGTACACTTGTTGAACATGCACGAGTTGAGACTCAGGTATCATAGTTGCTAGTGACCTACCATTTGATATGAATTTATTTGTTCCTTTTATGCTGATAATATCTTTTACTTTCACAAAGAACCATAGATTTTCATATGGTGAGCCAATGACCGTAGAGTCCACAACACAAGCTCTTTGTGATCTGGCCCTTCGATTTGGTGAAGGAGATGAAGAATCCATGGTATAATTGTTTGTCATTTATGTACATAGCCATAGATATTTTTATTTCCTTTTCTATTATGATTTTCGCTCATCTTAGTAAGCAATAAACAGAGGGCCATATACCCAGAATGACTTCTATACTTGTGTGTTCAGCTTCTTTTGCCATCTGGTATAGAATTCTGCCTATAGGATTATTTTCGAAGTGCTGATTTACATATATAACAATGTTTTCCTATGCAGTCCCGACCATTTGGGGTGTCTCTTCTCATTGCTGGTCATGATGAGAATGGGCCTAGCTTGTAAGTACTCAATAAATTTACATGTATTCGCTTTCATGTAGAAAAATCACTTTCAGCGAATGAGAAAGACTGAATGAATTTCTGTTGCATTAGCAACTTTTTAGGATTGACATTTCTGTTGGTCGTATCTAAATAATTATATCATCACTTTCCTGATCAGTTAAAACTTAGTCGCTGAACTGCCTTTCTTTGAAGGATGTCATCTATTAAAAATTGCTGCCACCACAATTAAAATGGTTCTCACGGTCTAGCAGTCATCTGGAAGTTGTAATTCAGTAGATTTATAGTTATATGGTACATACTAATTGCTACATGCTTGGTTTAGATACAAGGTTTTAAGAAGCTAAAACTGTAATAAGCTTTAATGTCGTATACATGCGTGGCTACCTTTCCCCAACATATTTATGCAAGATTTACAATTTATGTGCATGACCATTGATTCAAGTACCATACTTTTCACACCTATGCGGTCTAGCATTGTTATACTTATAATATAGAAATCGTTATAGATCCCTGTAAGTGTTTAAATTGGAAGTTATCCGAGTTATTTTTTCAATTAGAATGATTTATGGTTGGCTTGGTTGGACTGGTAAAATGAAGTATCCGGGCTCTGTTAGAAAAGAAACCCAAATATGGTACCTAGAGAGTGCAAAACAAAATCGAATGGCACAGTATTGATAGGCAGGCATACGTCTTCATTCTGTCATTTACATATTCCAACTTTTTTGCAGATACTATACCGATCCCTCTGGAACATTTTGGCAATGCAATGCAAAAGCTATAGGTTCGGGTTCTGAAGGTGCAGACAGCTCTTTGCAAGAGCAATTCAACAAGGTACCTTTACCCCTGTTTGTATGTTGTTTTTAATCTTTGGGAGTGCTTGACTCAGTAAATTTACGAGTCAAGTTGTTATCAAGTTCTATGGTACCGGTGCAACTATTTGCTGCAATTTACTTAGGATTCCCCCCCTGCAGGACCTAACTCTTCAAGAAGCCGAAACAATTGCCCTGTCCATTTTAAAGCAAGTAATGGAAGAAAAGGTGTAGTTTTGCATTATGTACTTGCGATTTTTAGATTGCGCTGTAAATATTTGTTTATTTTGCTGACTAATATCTGTCATCTGACAACAATATTCCTGCAGGTGACTCCCAACAATGTTGATATTGCCAAAGTAGCACCCACCTACCATCTATATACACCTTCAGAGGTGGAAGCAGTTATTACTCGCCTATGAGAATGCATTGTCATAGACAATCTTACGATGCGACGACTTGCTTTCTTCGTTTATGATGCATGATGAGTTGGGGGAGAATCTTATATTTGTTTTCTGTGGATTCAAGCTTATGAAACATTAGTTTTTGGTTTGGCAGTAAACTCACCCACGGGGATAATTTAATTACATCCGAACAGAAGTGAACCCTTTTTTTCAACGCAGAAAAGAACTTTTTTCGATTGCATGAATCACTGTTCTCATATTCTACTATCTGGTTGCTGCCTTGCTTTTTAATAGTCAGTAGTTTGCAATTATGTTTTTCTTTTGCCAAGATCTCTAGGATAGCGGCTTCTTGATGTAGCGGCTTCTTGATGTAGCCGCTATGGTGTCCTTGCTTCAACTTGACTTTGAAGGGTCTGCATGGAACAACTTTAATTAGCTTACATAGAAGAATGGCTGAACTTTTATCCATGTAGGTGGATAGATCTTAGATAAAGTGTTCCCCACCTACACGACAATTTGAATTTGACCTAAACATGCACAGACCCTTTGTCATCAATATCCCATTCTCCACCAAAAGGAACTTTGATTTCCCTTATTCTAGTTTCACAAACGTATTGCTTGTTCCGGTTGTCCTCGACCAACTGGTGGATGCTACTAATCACCTTGCTAGCTTACCTGGGGCAATCCTTCTATGTGCAACCGAATCTGCTTTTCGACTTGATGCATCACATTGCTAGCTTGTTTGCTCATTAGCTTTGGTTGTGTAGAACTTTCGTGTTATCTGCCTTGACCGCAAACTTGGACCCTAACAAGTAGTTAGACATATCTTTTGAGAAGAGGTAATGGTCTCGTGACAAGTGATATCAAAATGATTCTTTGACCGCTCGATTTCATACCGAGCACCCCAGTAGGTGAATAGGTAGGATGTACAACTGTGATGAGAGCATCACAAAATTAAATGGGAAATGCCATACCTTAGAAAAGTGGAGGACAAAATCCTACACCAGAAAAGAAAAAAGAGATCCTAAAATTTATATAAACGGGGCAAATCTCCTGTTGTAGTTAGCCAAACTCGAGAAGAATCAAAGTTCACTAACAAACATTCTTTGCCCTAAGAAATGATTCTCGGTTTGGGGAAAAATGCACGTTTCCCTCCTTATACCCATTCGAGAACCAACAACAAGTGCTCTTGATGTTCCTGCAATGAATAGCTATAAGCAATGATGTTGAAGTAAGTGATAAAAACCCTGGTTCAGTAATGTGCAGAATGTAATAGGAGCATTGGCTGGTCTAAAATGCGTTACAAGAATTTCGATTTGAATAATCACAGGTAGCGACAATAATAATTCAATCATTATGAGCTATAGAACCATTGTTGTAACTAAAAATGATCACAAGGTTTTCTCATCAAGGCATCGAAATTGTAAAGAGTTGGACAGGAAAAAGAAAAGTCTGCATCTTCCTATTAAACAGAGAAAAGGAACACATTAACAGTGTCCATGCCTACATGGTAAAGGACACATCTTATTGTAAACTCCTGCAAAGGGTATCTCAGGCTTATTCACGGAACTCGTCCATGAAACGTTTATGGAAATCTGTTAGACGGGTGACGACGGCCGGTATCTTCTCTTCTTGAGGGAGTATCGTGCACCTAAAATGCCAAGTGCCAGGAACCTATGAGGAAAATACCACATGTTAGTTCCATTCATCAAGGCGCCTTCAAATATTTATATTGATCCAATCAAAACTGAGATCAACTCACCTGCCCAAAGCCAGAACCGGGAACAAAAACGATTCCGGTTTCAGTGAGGAGACGACGGCAGTAGAATGCATCTGGTGCTGTTTTTGCTTCTCCAGCAGCTTTGATTGCCTTTTCAGGCAGATTAATCCTGGGAAAAAGATACATTGCGCCTTCTGCCTTGTTGCATGTTACACCTTCCAGCTTGTTGAATGCATCTTCCAGTGTCTGCATTTGGAATTTAGTTAAGTCATGTAATTTAAATCAAGTACACCGGCAACCCTGAGTCACATATTGGAGAGAGTGATTTATCATCCATTTTTTATTTTGAACTGATCCAACGTAAGAGAGGACTAACCTTTGCACGCCTAGTTAAAGACGAGAGGATTCCGTCTCTTTCGGAAATGTATGACTCATAGGATTCATCTCCAGCCTGCAAGTTTCAATGTTTTATCACTTGCAACAAACATCATATGCCTATAGAAGGCGGTCGAACTGGAGAAAGTCAAGATTTCCGGTAGCTTTTTCATGCCACCGAAGTACCAGACAACTTCCAATTTGTCATTTGTCAACCATGACAAAGCATAGTAGTTGGGAGATACAAAAGCTTTATTTATGTCATACATCCAATGTCATTGAAATGAAAACATAAAACTGAATTTAAATGGCAAAAGATTTAACCTTAGGAGGGCTCATGACAAGGCTAGCAAGAATTTGACCAGAGATGTTAGAACACAGATTAACAGATGCTAATTTGTATATATGCTCCCTGACATCAGCACCAAACCCGGTAATTTCCATATAACCTCCTCTTTTCCGCACTCTCCATAATACCCTGGAGACAGTAAAGAGTGCATATTCTCCATCAAAATTTCGAAGTTTGCACCATCGATAAACAAAATGATACGAGCTAGATAAAACCAGTGGTTACCTTTCGAGACTGACTGAAAAGATACTAAGTGTATATACTTCTCATCATAACCCATAGATCGAGAAACCTTCTTAAAAGAGTGGAATTTCTTTTCGGGAACATAAACATTCTCCTGGTAAACCTGTAAAACCATAGGTGGTTTGTTATTAAGGTCAATCCGAACTCGTCTTTGGGAAAGCAAGGTCATCGTCGGCGAGTGGAAAAGCAAGTACATATGAAATAAACATGCCTCATCTGCCAGCAAAACAAGACCTTCCTCCTTGCAGAACTCCACAATTTCCTTCTGGTTTTCCTCGGCAAGAACCTGCAATTAGAATGAGAAATGAAATCTTGTGAGAACCTGATCCAAGAAACTCCTTCGTACAGAACATGCTTTGCGAAAGCATTTTAACGAGTACCTGTCCTGTTGGATTGCCTGGATTTATAACAACCAAGGCCCTAACATTGATGCCCTTGGACTTGGCTGTCTCAAGTTGTTTCTTGAGGTCGGATACTTCCAAACCCCATCCTGTAGCTTCATCAAGATAGTAGGGAACCTGTAAAAGCCAAAAGAAAATTATACTTGCAACAATCTGCCGATCAAAAAAACGTCTGAATGATAAAGACAGCTTACAAAAATCTCGAAAATTATAAATAATGCTTTAAGTTACTATATGCATACCAAAGTTCCACCATGAAGAGCAATTGAGGCAGAGTATAAAGGATACTGAGGAATGGGACAGAGGATTCCATCTTTCTCAGATCGTATCAATAACTGCATCATCATATGCACCTGGAATTACAGGGAAAAAATCATTCCAGTATACGGGCTTTCTAGAGTAACTCATCTTTCATGTAAAGATGAAAATTTGAGATGGAAAGTTACTGCGGGGCTGGCACCATCTGTCAAGAAAATATCATTTGGATCAGCAGGAAAACCATCACGAGCCTCAATTCCAGCGGCAATAGTATCACGTAATCCCTTGATACCCTGCAGTGGGAAGAAGGAAAAAGTATGAATAGAATGCCAGCATGAATGGTCAAAAAGAAAAAGCATAACTTGATTTTGAAAAGAACAATAAGTTGCCAAAATCCAAGATATGAGCAATGATCAGAACCTGGCTGTGACTGTAGGCACCAGTTGCCCTTCCAGGAATTTGATCAAGAATTTTCCTTGCCCGCTGAATGGAGTCCGTACTGCAACAAGCCATGAACCAAATTACACAAGGAAAAGGAATGACTGTCAAAGAAGAACTGGTAATCTGCCAAAGTAAAAGATTCTAGGATAGATGAAGACAACATATCTTTATGTTTCGACTTTTACTGGGATCAATAGTTGTTTAAGATTCAGCCATTGCAGACCATCAAGAACAAATTTCTCACAAGGAATCTAATACCGGGAAGATCTCCCCTTCTATTCTAATAGACTTAACCAAAATGGAATTTCTTTAGCAAAATGTAAGTGGCCTTACATGAGCCTATTGAAGGGTCCAGATTAAACAAATGAAATAGATATAAAATTTAGCAAAACAAACAACAAAGCGGATGGCTAATATTAAATCTCAATACCTGAATAAACCCTGAGTTTCACTTTTGTCCAAAAGGGATGGATGGTCGCATAATGCAAGAACCTGCAGCAGAGACATCCTAGTAAGAATTTCTTCATTCACGAGGACTCAACTTTATGGTAATCAATATCTAGTAGCAAGAAACCAACCTCTCGGAAAAAGGTTATCGGCTGCTGACCAAGAGACTGAGGATTACCGATGTTGCAGTACAGGATCTGCAAAATACGAAATACTTGTAGAGTATCGAATAAAAGCTTCTTTTAAACAAAAGCCGTAATCAGATGGATGAAATCTAGAAGTCCATCATAAAAACTTCTTCACTGTACTTCAGGAGTTGAACACCTTTATGAATTCAGTCATTCATAAATCGTAATATTATACTAGTATGAGGATTTTTATTTAACCATGGGAGAGAAAAAGGGGAAAGAGATATGTTGTCTATGAAGCATAAATGAGATTTCAACTCCACAAGAGTCCATTAAAAAAATTTAATGGAAGAAAGATATGTACCTCTTCAAAGGGATGAGCTTCTGGCTTAATCTTTATCTCATCTTGCAACTTCTGAGAGATATATTACGAAACTATATTAGCAGCATTTACTTCAAAATTTCTAAAACATAATGAAAACCGACAGTTCGATGAGCAATGATGCTGAAATCATCCAAAATTCACCTTTTAGTTCAATAAGATATGCACAAAAGCATGAAAACATGACAGTAATAAAATTGTTACGAATAAACAAGAGATAATGCAGATCGGCATAATACCTGCGCAAGGATGACAATCTCGCCACGGACAGCATACTCGCATTCTATGACCTGGTAATAAAGATAGAATTAGTCACAAGGAAATAGATCGATTGCACAAAAGGTATTAAGCTGGCTCAAACTAGAATGGGAGTATTGCATATCCTGAATCAAAGGACAAAAGGTGCTAGGGAAATTAAATGATTCAACATTTTCCACTTATTGTCATTGCTATAAATTTTAAATCTCTAAATTCAGACAAATATGAAGAAAGCTTGCCCTAATGGACAATATAAGAAGATTGATTTGAGCACAAAAGAGAGCAATCAATTGAGTACAAGCACTAAAAAGGGGTCTCTATTTCACTATAAAGCCATGATCATTTACATAAAAGAGAAGAAAAGATGATCCATTCCAAAGAAAGACATGCTTAAAAAAGGAAAAACTTTTAACAGAAGCATGCGAAAAATGATAAACAAACACAACATGGAACCATGATTCGAGTAATGAAAGAAAAGTTATAAGAAAACACTTATAACAAAGGGAGAACTCCCCAACCCTATGGGATGAAACGAAAGGAGAAAAACACAAAGTTGTAGAGTTTTTGAAATGACAAGACGAACACAATACACAAAGCATAAAAAACCAGATTCAGAAGTATAAATAGATCAATACCCAACATCAAATCAAACAATAAATGAAAAGAAGAAGAGAAAACAAGAGAAACCCAAATTCAGAAACAGTCCAGAATGAAAGAAAAAAAAGGTGAAAAAAATGGTACCTTGGGGTTAATAGTATTAACAGTAACAGGAGGGGCCATTGCTGAGGAGGAAGAAGAAGAAATAGGGGGAATCAGCTACCAGTCGTATAGGACAATAAACGATATGGGGAATGAGAAGAGGAGGTTAGAGAATGTTGAAATTGATAGTTTTGACGTGAACTTTTAAGGATATTTCGGGCTTTGCCAACGCCAACCACAGATCTCCACATCTCTCTTTACCTTTCAAAGACACAGGCGAAAGGAGACATTTTTACGGGTGGAAATCGATATTTTTACCTGAATTTGTCGGTTTACCTTGGCGCCCACGGTTTGATTGGTTAAAATATGATAGGGTCCCTATATTATTTTAAATTGGCTTATATTATGAATAAGTATATAAAGTATATTATTTTTCACTTAAGTATCTAAAATATTTTTGTCAAAATAAATACATAAACTTATCCTCTTGGTCAAAAATAGGTATCTAATTTTTTTTATCAAAATAGGTACCTAAACTATTCTCTTTTATTCATTTAAGTTCTAAAAAAGTTGACATGTGATATTAATTAAAGAATACTTTAGGTACTTAGATAAAATAATAATAATTTAGGTACCTTTTTTGACCAAAAAGATAAGTTTAGATTCTTATTTTGATCAAAATATACTTTAGGTGCTTAAATGAAAAATGTGAGATACTTTAGGTATTTATTTGTGATATAAGCCTTTTAAATTTTAGTCATTATATTTTAATTTTATAATATTAGTATCTTATATTTTCTTTTATTCTAAAAAATTCATATTTAATTATATTATTAATTATGTAATTGTAAAATAAAATGTATTCCATATTTAATTTGACCTTTAATCTTAGTACTATAATTTTGTCAAGTTTAGTAAAAATGTAAATACAAAATAAAACATAGATATTTTATTTTTAATTAATAATTAATGGTAAAAATATTGAGATAATGATATGGAGAATAATAATTCCTCAGATAGTACTTGTGGAGTTTTATTTTTTTAATTAGGGTGATAAAACTTAATTTTGTAAAATTAAACTACAAAAATTTAATTTTACATTGTGAAACAATAAAGAAGGTTTTTATATATTTAAATCGTTAAAAATATTTTTAAATAAACTTTCTTATTTGAATATGTATAGTTACACAAATAATGAAATACTAATTATTTAGAGTTAATTGTATCATACGTCCTCAAAGTATTATTCTTATTTTAAATCGTTATCTAAACTTTTTTTTCAATTTTATTTCTAAACTATTACTATCATCCTAAATTAGTCCTTAAACTTTTAAATATTTCAATTTCATCCCCAAACTATGACCTTTATTCTAAACTAGTCCCCAAACATTTTGAACATTCCAATTTCATCCCAAACTATATGTATATACTAATCACATTCATTGTTAATACAATTGTTAGGCCAAGTTATATTATTATATGTTAGAAAAAAACACAAATTTAGGTTAGACTATGGTTGAAACTAATTACATATTTGGATGAAACTGGAATATTCAAAAGTTTGGGGACCAATTTGGAAAGAAGGTCATAGTTTGAGGATGAAATTGGAATGTTCAAATGTTTAAGGATTAATTTAGGATGAGATTCATAGTTTGAGGATAAAATTAGAATATTCAAAAGTTTAAGGACTAATTTAAAATGAAGTTATAGTTTGGGGACATATGATACAATTAACTCAATTATTTAGATCACATTCATTGTTAATACAATTGTTAGGCCAAGTTATATCATTATATGTTTGAAAAAACACAAAATTTAGGTTAGAATACGATTGAAACTAATTACATATTTGGATTAAACTGGAATATTCAAAAGTTTGGGGTCCAATTTGGAAAGAATGTCATAGTTTGAGGATGAAATTGGAATGTTCAAAAGTTTAAGGACTAATTTAGGATGAGATTCATAGTTTGAGGATGAAATTAGAATATTCAAAAGTTTAAGGACTAATTTAAAATGAAGTTATAGTTTGAGGACATATGATCCAATTAACTCAATTATTTAGATAGGTTTGACATTACCATGTGCTTAATGGACTCGAGCACATTGTAACAGAGATCCACTCTGCCATAAATATTTTTTAAAGTTTAAATTTGAATATATTTTATAAAGTAATATGATAATTATTTTAATATACTATTTATAATCGTTTAAATTCAACGGTGGTAGTCTCTTTTGTTGATATTATAAAGCAGCACCTTCCTTTTTGACCACACCTACACCAATCCGGGTCAGGCTCGAGTAATTGTTCGTTTTAGCTCGGGTGGATTAAAATAATAAAAAATACTTTTATTTTAATTATAATTTTTTTTGATATTATTATTGTTTTGATGTTTTTAATATAATAATACGATAATATATCTGTGTTGGATTTTAAATTTGAATAAACTTATATAGAACTATAGATAAAATTGTTTGAATTTAGATAACCTAAAATGAATGATATTCCATTTCTTATTCTAATGTTTTATTATTTTTTTTGAATGGTAAATAAGTTTAGCCTAAGGTAGCGGTAAGCAAAATTTGACTTAATTCGAAGAAAAAAAAATAAATTTTTTACTCGACTTGATTTAAAGAAAATTTCAAATTAAGTTTGAGTCATAAAATATGACTTGAATAACTCGATTTTTTTAATAATTAGTGAATTTATTTTAAAGTTTGATTCGAGTCAAGTCTTTCAATACTACATGATATATATATGGTTATAGAAAGCCGTTTAAATTAGAACAAATTAATATCATAATATTATAAATATTTATAAATAAATTTAAACAAAAATATGAATAGCTTGAATTGATTCAAATTTCATAAACTCAACTACATTCAAAAAAAATTTTAAATAAAATTTAAGTTATAAAACATGAATTGTAAACTCGACTTACTTAATATTTTTAAGTCGAATCGACTCGACACGATCGAATGCAATAAAAATGAATTCAAACGAAGAAGCAGCATGTCCTGGTTTGGTGGAATAGAATGGGTGAGAGGCGAATGATTCGGCAGCCACCCATGGCCATACATCTGTTTCTTTCGTTGACACAAAGGAATGGTTAGAGAGAAAAGTAAAGAGGCGACCTATTTTCCAACTGCATGGCTTAACATTTACAAACCTTCTAGATTTTTTTCTACCGTTAATATTAATATTTGACGTTATTTAAAATATTTAAAATAATATTTATCAAAAATATTAAAAAAAATATTAACATTTCTAATAGAATCTTTCTTTAACCGCGAATAAAAAGGTTTTTAAATCTCTTTTGAAGAATGTAAAAAAGAATGAAATAAAAATTCAAGACTAAAAGAAAGTTTTCTTTATAAAATATTAAACCTAAAAAAAAACTAAGTTCATATACTAATTGAAATCTAAAAGTTAAATTTAAATATCTAATTGGACAAAAACAACTTAGCAACTAAATTATAACTTAGAGTCAAAGTTCATGTATTAATATATATATTTACTCTAATGATTATTATAATGGTTTATTGCAGTTGAAAGATACAATTAGTAAAATAAAATAAAATAAAGGAAACATTAAGGGTGTTCAAAATTCGGTTTTAATCGAATTAATCGATCGAACCAAACTAATTCGGTTAATTCGGTCGGCCACCGAATTAGTTCGGTCGAAGAACGGTTAAGGTTTTTTTGGATATTCGGTTAACAGTTAATTCGGTTAGAAATCGGTTAATTAACCGAAATAAAATTTTAAATATTAAATATATTTTATATAACATATGGGCTCAACCCAAACCATTTAAAACTCAATTAATAATTTAAGATCTAATAACTTTTAAACCTAAATCAATATTATTTAATTAAAAAATTTATATAAAATTTTATTTATAATTATATATTATTTAAATTAATTATAAATTGTTTTTAATTATAAAATATTTAATTTTTATATAAATTAGAAAATTTTAAAAAATTTCGTTTAATTCGAAAATTAACCGAATTAACCGAAATTTATTCGGTTTGGTTAATATTTTTGAAAAAAAGTTCGGTTCGGTTAACGGTTAAAGAAAAAAAGTTCGATTAATTTGGTTAATGATAGTTCGATCGGTTCGGCCACCGAATTAACCGAATGAACAACCCTATAAGAAACACTTTGCCTTGATTTTTTCTGTAAATGAATCTTTAATGCTTCCTTAATTTGGCATCCAAAGCTTTATTCATATCAAAGCATTGCATGCGAACTAAATAATTCACCTAATAATAATTTTTGTCTTTTATGCTTATTTTTTAAAAAGAAAATCCATATTAAATGTCAGATTTAGATAAACTATTGATATAGTTATTAATTAATTAACGGTCAATGCTATTCGTTAATACGATGGTTCACACGAAATTTACTATTATATCATGAAATGAGAAATATATTAAAGACTAAACGTGTTTATCGAAGCGAGTTGATTGTGAATCGAGCAGTGCTCGACTTATGCCCATTAAAAAATTATTGTTAGATTTGACTTATTGAATGATGTTGAACATTGCTCGACTCAATTCATCAAAGTCTCGAATCGAGTCGAGTTACAATCGAACATTGACTGAACCAAATTATAACAGTTCAAAAGGTGTTGAACTCATTAAGCACCACTATTAAATATATACATTAGACATGGACTGAATAGTTCATGCTTGTATATTTATGCCCTTTTGTTCCTTCAACTAAGCTCTGTACATCACAAAAAATGCTCTTTTCTAATGACTAATGCCTCTCAAGCTGTAACTCTACATTAGCAGACATTAACATAACAAAAAAAAAATCAATGTTCCAGAGATCTTGGTATCTGCTGTCTCCTGCTTCTTTCTCCTCGAAAACTAGGGTTGAACCCGGTACAGATAAACACTAAATCTAAATCAAACTACACTAAAATTAGCTTCAACTTGCAGACAAAGCCACGCACTGTAGAATTTGAACGGCAAGAATTTTACTTGTTCCCTATCGGATTCGAAGTGCTCGGAGGTATCCTCCTGAAGCTGGAATCCACCAGTTTCTTAGGATTTCCCTGGGAAGACGAACCCTTAGCCTCTCTCGACACCATCGAAGCACGATCGTGTCGGAATCGGATCGAACGAGCTTCTGCTTGAGCTATATTAGATAGATGCGTCGAAAGTAGTAGAAGAAGAAGAGCAAGAACTGCTAGTGGTCGAGTGTTTGCTTTCATGGCTGCTGTGTTGGGAATCTTTGTT